GTGATTGGACGATGGAAGAAGTATCATCCATAGGTTGAACTCAAAGGGACCTGCGTCTTTACACAAACTCAACAACAATGTAACCAAGAAGCAGCCGACTGAGGGTCTTATCTCTCACTCTGCTCTCATCTCCTACCAGCATGCTTCTTGTTAGCACACGGACATACACATTTTAGGACTTCTAGGGGCAGATACGCTGCAACATACGTCACTCACAGGAGGCAGATGGCGTATGCTCCGGGCACAGACTCGCTCTGACGCACAAGGAACGCTCCGTCCCTTCCATCGCGGATCAATAACTGCTCAGCACTTGTCTGGCTCAGTTCGGCATGATACCAGCACTCGCACATCTTCCTTAAAGGGAAAGCGTGAATTATTGCCGGATTGGTCTATTTGTTGTTTTCAATACAATGGAAAAATGACATTTGTTAAATAAAGATTTGGCAAAATATATATCTATGAAGCAGCTGATGGGGGGCCACAGGCCACATATATATATATATATACGGTATATACCGGGCTCAGGATCCATCAGCTCAGTAGGGGGGTCCAGCAGGCCGAGTGCAGTGTCATTTCAGAAGAGACCTCCATGGAGACCTGTGAGAAGACCACTTAACAGACCTCTGAGAAAACTCTGAGCAGACCTCACAGAAGACCTCTGGGGAGCCCTTGGAGGAGACCTCCGTGGAGACCTCCGAAGAGACCTGTGAGAAGACCTCCTAACAGACCTCTGAGAAAACCTCTGAGCAGACCTCACAGAAGACCTGCGGGGAGACCTTGGAGGAGACCTCCGGGAAGACCTCTGAGAAGACCTTTGGGGAGAACTCTGAGAAGACCTTTGGTGAGACCTCTGAGAAGCTCTCCAGGGAGCCTTCCGAGGAGACCTCTGAGCAGACCTCACAGAAGACCTGCGGGGAGACCTTGGAGGAGACCTCCGGGAAGACCTCTGAAAAGACCTTTGGGGAGACCTCTGAGAAGACCTTTGGGGAGACCTCTGAGAAGACCTTTGGGGAGACCTCCGAGAAGACGTCCAGGGAGCCCTCCGAGGAGACATTTGAAAAGACCTCTGAGAAGACCTCATGGGAGCCCTCTGAAAAGACTTTTAAGGAGACCTCTGAGATGACCTCTGAGAAGACCCCTGAGCAGACCTCACAAAAGAACTCTTGGGAGCCCTTGGAGAAGACCTCCGAGGAGACCTGTGAGAAGACCTCCTAACACACCTGTAAAAAGACCTCTGGGAAGACCTCTGAGAAAACCTCCGGGAAGACCTCTGAGAAGACCTTTGAGTAGACCTCTGAGAAGACCTCTGGGGGGCCATCTGAAAATAACTTTGAAGAGACCTCCGAGAAGACCTCCAGGAAACACTAAGAAACGATCTTCAGGGAGACCTCTGAGAAGACTTCTGGAGAGCCCTCTGAGAAGTCCACCAAGAAGACTTTTAAGAAGACATCCAAGAAGATGTCTGGGAAGCCCTCTGAAAAGACCTCCAAGGAGGCTCCCTTTTGTATATTCGGGAACTAATTTTTTTAATGAAACTGAAGTTTTTGAAAACTTTGATCTGAATGATATAATATATAACAGTTTTATACATCGGGGCACTGAGGTGATAAGAGGACCCGTCTCTACTCAATATTCAAGCATGCCATGGAGTGCATGTTAGTCAAAGATCCCTGAAGGCAGTACACAGTGCAGGGCCACGTAATATCTACAGCAATGGCGAGTCAGCCAAAAATTTCCAAACAGTCATCATGTAGCCATGTAGCCCAGTGCAGGTCACATGGTAACACTGAAAAATTGTGCATGACTTCATTACAAATCAAAATGTACACTGACTGCTCCAAAAAGGTAACACGTGGGATAACCCAGAAATGATCTGCTCACGTGAGACATGAAAGACGATCTTACTTGAAGAAAAAAGAATAAAGTGGTTTTGGAGAAAACCGCCACGGCTAAATTAGGTCACACCGCCGAAATTGTGCAAAATAGGAAACTTGACTTGTTTGTTTTACTCCGTGGCATAGAGCATCTCTTCTCACTATAGGAGCCCTCCAGAGGTTGCTGAGAGTTCCCTGACCAATCACCAGTGACCTGACGTTGTCAGCATAGATCTGGGGCCAACGCCAGTCAGCAAAGCCAGCAGCCTGTAGAAGATCCCCTCCTCTCAGGTAACCACTGACACCAATCATCTTTCTAGATATCTGTAATGGGGCAATTTTAACCATATTCCACCAGTGTAAGTGGTATTCTTCTAACTGACCACCAAAGTAAAGGGGCCATTCTTACAAATTACCCCAGTGTAAGGGGGAATTTATCCACTGAGTGACCACCAATGTAAGGGAGAACTTCTCCACTGACCACCAATGTAACGGAGAACTTCTCCACTGACCACCAATGTAAAGGGCTCTCCTCCAGTGACCACCAATGTAAAGGGCTCTGCTCCACTGTGTGGAAACTTCTCCACTGACCACCAACATAAGGGGGAACTTCTCTACTGATCACCAACGTAAGGGGGATTTCTCCACTGACCACCAATGTAAGTAGGAACGTCTCCAATGACCACCAATGTAAATAGGAACTTCTCCAATGACCACCAATGTAAATAGGAACTTCTCCAATGACCACCAATGTAAGAAGGAACTTCTCCACTGATCACCAATGTAAGGGAGAACTTCTCCAATGACCACCAATGTAAGAAGGAACTTCTCTACTGACCACCAATGTAAAGGGGAAATTTCTCCAATGACCACCAATGTAAGAAGGAACTTCTCCACTGATCACCAATGTAAGGGAGAACTTCTCCAATGACCACCAATGTAAGAAGGAACTTCTCTACTGACCACCAATGTAAAGGGGAAACTTCTCCAATGACCACCACTGTAAGAAGGAACGGCTCTCCAATGGCCACCAATGTAAGTAGGAACTTCTCCACTGACCACCAATATAAGGGGGAACTTTTCCAATGACCACCAATGTAGGGCGGTCCTTCTCACAGTGGCCACCAATGTAAATAGGAATGTCTCCAATGACCAATATAAAGGGGTTCCTTCTCCACTGACTATAAATGTAAGGAGGTCCATCTCACACTGACCAGCAATGCTGGAGTCCGTTCTCCACTCACCACCAATGTTCCTTTCCTTCTAAATCTAGCTAATGTAACATGAGATGTAGATTTATAGCAATAGTTTACTGTCTGGCATAGGTCAATGGTCACCAGAGACGTATATGATACAAAACACTGACAACAATAATGTGCAGCTTAGCGCAAATTTGAATGTTTTTTTCTAAAGAAGAGAAAACTGAAAAATTGTATTTCCCTGATATTATCAAAGAAATCAGAAGCTTTGGCAAAACATCTCCATTTTTGTAAAATATATTAGAATCATGTCTCACGGTGAAATGATGCTGTTTTTTTAAGGTTGCTATAGACTTTAAAGTTAGAAATACGGATCTTTTTGCCAAAAACAGCCCCCCATTAGCCTTGTTATATTATTATTTTTTTTACAGGAAGGAAACAGACATCGTAGAAATAAAATAAACCATTAATATACAAATAATAACATGCAGAAAAAACCTACTAAGGTGCATATTTATAAAGCTGTGACCAGTTACCAGACTGGTGGCGAGTTTTATAAATAGGCCCCTCAATAAAAATTAAAGCAGCACCGTAGATAACGAGCCCCGCACCCTCTAAATAGAAAAAAAAAAGGATAAATATTTTTTTTCAAGCAAATTTTGCCTGAGGTGCTCCCAGAGAGAAATTTGGTTTCTTCCAAAATCAGGGAGGAAATGTTCCCCTCGGGGGAGAAACTGGATTGTTCTATATAGGATGGGGTGGGGTGGGGGGGTTGTTCTTCTGGATCAACTGCAGGTTTAGCGTTCTGAGGATTTTTTTCAGATGAACTCAATGGACATGAAACTTTTTTTCACCTGAACTCTGTAACTTTCTATCATGTAAAATACTCATAAATAAAATAAATATATTATTCTGCAACATTCTACTTTCTGATACTCTCTGATACCTTCTGTTACTTGTTGTTACCTTTCTGGTACTTTCTGTTACTTTTTGTTACCTTTCTGATACTCTCTGATACCTTCTGATGCTTTTTTGTTACCTTTCTGATACTTTCTGATACCTTCTGTTACTTTTCGTTACCTTTATAAAACGTTCTGATGCTCTCTGATACTTCCTGATACATTTTGTTACCTTTCTGATACTCTCTGATACTTTCTATTACTTTTTGTTACCTTTCTGCTCTCGGAAAGTGATCTTCAGATCTTCAACATCAATAGGCGAGTATGCAAATTTTAGAAGTGGCACGCTGACACACCAGAAACCAAATGAGCGCCAGTCTTCACCCCATGCAGGAGCGGAGCTTGGCTCTCAGTTGAGGTCGTGCGTTGCCTGTGTGTAGACTTTGGGAGGACGCCTCTGCCTGAGGTCTGGACGCGGCTCACCTTCTGTCGCTCGGCCTCGGAGGTTCTCTCTCTTCTACATGAGCTGGAGGTGCGCCGGGTTCTGCAGGAGGGAGAAGGAAGGAAGACATTAAATACATCATAACCCACAAAACCGAGCTGAGCCGCGCAGAGACTGTACAAGAGGGACGCCAGATGGGCACCGAATCAGAAGATACCAAAAAAAAAAAATGGCAACAGAGAGAGTCATCTGAGGGAAAAGCACAAAATCAGCAGATTTCGGAGGAAAGCGACACATCGAATCAGAAGATACCAAAAAAAAAAAAATGGCAACAGAGAGAGTCATCTGAGGGAAAAGCACAAAATCAGCAGATTTCGGAGGAAAGCGACACATTTCAGTTTTCTTGAATGAGCCAAAAAAATGACAAAATGAGCAAAACGTAAACGCAACGCATAGCATTTTGTAGACACTTTCAAATCCTACATATCTATATATACGCAACATATAGTGACACCTTTTTTCCTCCTTTGTTCCTTCTCGGTGTTGCTCTGATCTCTTGCAGTTCCACTTCCTGTCTACATGCACTCCAGCGATGGCCGCCATGGCATTTCTCAAGGCGGGTTTCCTGATGGTGACCAAAGTGGACCGTGTCTGTATAATGTGTGATGAAACGGCCACTTGTAGACTCCATCAGAAGCCCATGTGACAGAGTGCCAACACAGGAGGATGATTGGGAGGCAAGGACAGAGTGTTGTCACCCTATAACAGAAAGTGCCTGAATTAGGACGGAGTGTTGTTCCCCTATAACAGGAAGTGCTTGAACAAGGACAGAGCGTTGTCACTCTATAACAGGAAGTGCCTGAATTAGGACAGAGTGTTGTTCCCCTATAACAGGAAGTGCTTGAACAAGGACAGAGCGTTGTCACCCTATAACAG